CAAGAAAATCCTGGGGACGATATCCAGCACACACACACACCAGGACTTTTCTCACCCGTCTCTGGGCGTAATTGCGGTCGAAATGCGGTCAGATTTATCCGGGAGAAGGATGCCCTGATTATCGTCTTTTCTGATTCATCTCTGGACGTTTGTTTTAGTCTCGACCTTACGGTTGTCCATCCATTTGAATCATCTGTTAATTTGAGTCCAGATACAGAATGAGTCTTTTTTTTGCCCTCGTTAGGATCTTTATTGTTTTTTGGCTTTTTCTTTCCTTTTCAGGATGATTGACTTTTTGACCTTCCTTTCCCCTTTCAGGATGGTTGTTTAATTGTGGGCCCACAATTTCAATTGTGGGCGCCCATTTAAACAATGTGATGGTAGGAACTGCGATAGATAGAATCATAGAGCCGAGTGTGCCCAGTGTCCCATAAAGTTCTGTGCCTCGTACTCACTTGCTCCCCCCTCTCTTCCTCTCTTCCTCTCTTCCTCTCTTCCTCTCTTCCTCTCGCTGTCTCACTCCTTAGTTCTACCTTACCATGGATTAGGAACCACTCTAAACCCCTCGTGGAACAATTGTGTGACATGCTGCTGACTTGCCGAACCTCGAAAGGGAGGACTTTAAACCCCTGTGATCCCCTCTAAACCCCTGTAAACCCCTGTAAACCCCTGTAAAGTTGTAAACCCTTGTAACCACCCGTAAACCCTTGTAAACCCCTGTGAACCCTGTCTATCTCCTTAAACCACCAGTACTTCCTCGAGTAGTGCCCGTTAACGTGCCACCATTTTAGGGAACATACGGGTCTATCTCCCCTTAAACCACCAGTACTTCCTCTAGCAGTGCCCGTTAATGTGCCACCATTTTAGGAAAAGTACGGGTCTATCTCCCCTTAAACCACCAGTACTTCCTTGAGCAGTGCCCGTTAACGTGTCACCATTTTAGGAAACGTAAGGGTCTATCTCCCCTTCAACCACCAGTACTTCCTCGAGTAGTGCCCGTTAACGTGCCACCATTTTAGGAAACGTACGGGTCTATCTCCCCTTAAACCACCAGTACTTCCTCGAGTAGTGCCCGGTAACGTGCCACCATTTTAGGAAACGTACGGGCCACTACAGGAGCGCCCAAGTTCATCCAACTAGAAACGTTTCTACTCTATTTCTTTCCGCGGCCGATAGCTGGGCCAAGTACTGGAGGTTTAACCGCTGCTAACCACAAGTTCAATTCTCAATGAACAACCTTCGATTTTGGGCTCTGTACAAGGAATGTGGACTTCTTTTTTGTGTTTTTCTGACTTTTGTCTCTTCCTAGGTCGTGCGGATTTCTGAACAACTGCTGCTGCCCAGTTATATGGGTCTGGACAGCCAAAAATCATTTGTTTCTTTCAGCGATTTTTGATCCATCGTCTTTGATTCCTCCCCCTTCCCCCCCCCCCCCCCCCCCCCCCCCCCTTTTCCTCTGGGCCTCACTGCACCACTCAGCAAATGTGCAAATTGAGAATGAATCTTCCTCTAGGACGGGGACAGATACACCCACCATACTTTTGTCTTTTTCACACTTGGTGAGTGCTGCTGCGAGGCCCTTAGGGATACCTCGAGGGAAGAAAAGGGTACCACTTTTTGACATTGTCTGTATGGCAACATTTATGCGGAGTGCTACAAATACAGCCTTAGGGCATACTCACACTACCGTCTTCACCCAAATAGACCTCCCGCTAATTATCGCCGCATCTGGACTGCAAGCTGGGCTGCATTAAATAGACCTCCCGCTAATTATCGCCGCATCTGGACTGCAAGCTGGGCCAAATGCAGCTATAATGACCGGGCGTTCTATTCGGGTGAAGACGGTAGCACTTTCCTGAATGTATCTGACCGCAATCATGGCCGCACGTGGATGCATCTGACTGCAATCACGTCCAGAGCTCAGTGGAGTATTGCGTTAGTATTTCACTGTGTAGCATACGGAATGTGTTCGCAGCTTTTGTGAACGCCCGAACATGTTCGGGTTGATCACGCCTGGGAACGCCCGAACATGTTCGGGTTGATCACGCCTCCCAGGCAAAAGTTTGTATTATTTTTTTACATAACATGTATTACTGAGAACTTTTTTATTTTATTTTATATTATTATGTTCGCGTTCGGAGGGTCTTGGCGCTCGTTCACGTTCGGTCGCGAACGTTCGGGTTCGGTCACCGGATGCGAACACGATGCTACGCAGGTATTTCATTTGTAGAGTTTGCAGTTGTAGAGTTCCCTAGCCGCGTCTTTTTGTTTTGCTCGTGGTAGTTAGAGGTCAGTTCATCTTAGTTTGCCAATGGCTGAAGGCGGTTGAGGGTTGAGGGTAGACCAACTGCTGTTTCAGATATGGCATAAATGATTGGCTACCAGCCGTGCCACCGGGGTCATCCTGTTTTCCCAGGTGGCCCTGCTGTGCAAGGACCAGGTTCCAGCAAAACAAAAAACGAAAAAAAAAAAAAAAAAAAAACGAAAAACAACAATGGTGTGAGAAAAATAAACTGAACAAACTTTTTTTTTTTTTTTTCAAAACTACACTATGTTCTTCTCTCAAATTCTTTTTGTCTTTCACCACCTTCCTACCACTACTCCTAAGACTATATACGTATAGAGGGGGACCCCTGCAAGCATAGGGCCTCACAAAGGAGGTAATTCATCTTGCCCCCAGCCCCAACAGCGGTAGTCTCTGAGATGGGGTGGGGCCGCCGGTGGGGGTCCGGCTAACGCAAAGACCGAGCATTTTGCCAGTAGCTGTGCCTCCCTTTCTCATCGTCCCCCACCCCTCAGCGAGTAGCAGCATAGGCTATGGCCAACACTCTCCCACACACCACACACAACCCACCCGCACTCGCTCTCACACCCGTGTTAGTCATAGACCCCGCTAATACCGATCAGCGGTATCCAGAGCACTATCTCACTCCGTTGGCACTAAGTGCACCGCAGGCGGTCATGGGCCTTGAACCCACAACCTCCTGAATGCCACTTGTGCGCCTAACCAACTGTGCGCCTAACCAACTGTGCGCCTAACCAACTGAGATAGGCCACTGGATACTGAACTTTTGCCTTAGAGTCACATGAAAATTCTTTACCAAATTCTTCTTGTTAACGACTAGTGAGGGTGATCTCGGAGTAGTCCTGACTCTTCTGAGTAGCTCCGTAGAGAATTATCTGGGCCCTTGGGACCCGTCTGGCCCATGAGTTGCAGTCTGGGATGCTGGAGGGAGTTCCAGTATGAAGTGAGTCTCCTGGGCCCCGCCTAGCAGGCCTGGATAGCCACCAGACTGGTTTTCTTTAATTGGCGAGTGAGTCAACATTAGGCTCCCACCAAGCGAAGCCGGGGAATGCTCCCGGAGAGGGGTTGCTAGATTCTCTCTTTGTGGGTAAGGTTTTTCCCTTTACTGCTGTTTGCATTTTGTTGGTACCGGTTTAATTGATTGTTTTGGAATAGCATGTAGATGGATAAGCGAGGGACACGGGACTCGGTTTCCAGTACTTGCCTAATCTGGGTATTGGCCCCCGTCCTTCGGGTTGAGATGTGGAGGGATGCCTGGCCTCCTTTTGCTCCTATTATAATGAAACATCGCTATTAAGGGGGGGAATATTTTTTGAATACCAAATAAAAAAATAAAAAATGAAATAAAAAACTAGGCTACCAGAGTGGCCCGGGATTTKTTTAAAAAAAAAAAAAAAAAAARAGTGGCCCGGGACCACTTKCCCAGCCAGGGSGAAAAAAAAAAAAAAAAAAAAAAAAAGACGGTATTTTTTATTTTTATTTTTAATTTTGAATTTGGTAACGAATTTCGAAGCTACCCTGAAGCAAAAGTTGTTCAGTTTATTTTTCTGAATAATTTTTTTTTTCGTTTTTTTTTTTTTTTTCTGGGACCTTTCCTGGTCCTTGCACGACAGGGCCGCCCGGGAAAACAGGGTGACCCAGGCGCCCCGGCTGGTAGCCTAGATTAAAACTAATTTTTATTTATATATATAATATATATATATATTTTTGGGCCCTGCCGGACAAGTAATCCTGAGGCACTCTGGTAGCCTAGCATAAATGTTTTTTTTTTTTCTCGTTTTTCTTTTGCTTTTGTTGGTTTTTTACATTCCTTTTTTCGGACCATTGATCAGATACTTCACATGATCTTAGCCAAAAGGCCGACAATTTGTGAGAAAGATATATGCCGTGGGAGGCGTGGGGTGTTGGGTCTAGTGAACTATAGTCATCTCTCGCGAGGAAGATATATGCCGTGGGCGGCGTGGGGTTTTGGGTCTAGTGAACTATAGTCATCTCTCGCGTCTGACTGCACTGACTATCTTTTGCATGAATCGACACAAAAAACAAATCGGATGTCTTTGCCTGAACCTGACGGAAAGGGCTATGACGCTACATGTATCGTGGGAGAGGGAAATCTGGTGATAAGGGTGGGTTATGTGTGTCTTTAGTTGGGGCGTTTTGGGTGCTGGACCTGCGGTCTCCAGCAGGTGTGGCGTTCCCTACCACTACCGTCTTCATGTCACAGAACGCCCGGTCATTAATTCTGTATCTGGACTGAAAAATGCCCTGAATACATTTTTATGACCGGGAGTTCTATTTGGGTGAAGACGGCAGGCGAAGGCCTCAATCTGTGGTTGGAAGGTTCTTTTAGAAGAGATGGCATTAAAAGCTTGGAAGGGTAAAAGGACCTGATGTCTTGCTGGTTGTTGATGGCCTTTGCGGCCATCAAAAGGGGAGGGGAAAAAAAAAGAAGTTGAGGCTGGCAGCTCCACACAGAGAGAGAGAGAGAGAGAGAGAGAGAGAGAGAGAGAGAGAGAGAGAGAGAGAGAGAGAGATTGACCTGTTGGCCTGACCTCCCAAGTTTGGCAACAGTTCCTTGGTCTCTTCGGGCTGACGGGATTCGAACCCTCAACCTTATGTTGGTTATTGATGGTTACGTGACATGCGCTGGTGTTTGCTCACTGGCGGTTATGATGGGTGGGTGATTGTCTGGCAGGTTACTGTCCCGCTAGGTACTCTGAAGGCAAATGCATTAAAACCACGGTTCACTGTTCATCATGGAATACCTCCTGAGTCAATCACCATGGCTTATGAGCCAATCCAGCGCACGTTGGCGATTGGAACAAGGTAAACTCCTTTTACACCTCCCCTCCCCTACCCCCCCTTTCCTGTGCCACCCATCCACCCCTCTACAGAGCAGAATATCATGGTTGGATAAGAATCGGCCCCATCGACTTTTTCCAATGCTTTTGACCACATATAGTGAGGCGTTTGTGGGGGAATCCCCAACCTTGAAAGGGCGTTTGAGCATTTCCTACCCCTCTCCTGCCAATTCCTCCGCCCGTGCCTCCCTCCCCCCCCCCC